CCCCCCCCCCTAAGATTAAATCATCAGTCTGTGGACCCAGTATGAAAATTACTAAAATATAAACGTAGACACCTACTTTGAACAATCCCTCACACGTCCGTTTCAATTTTCCTATAATTCCATGGATTCCATCCTGAAAGCCCCTAAAACCCCCTTTTCGTCCTCCTAGGAAGAATACAATTGAAAATTCTAGAATTCGAATTTAGATTTCTGTTTATTATTCTTTAATGTTCTAATCTGTGGCGGTTAAAAGCCTACACATAAAATTGCAAGTCATTTTGTCAAAAGTTATGGGAGGTGCTCAAAAAATTACTATGTGTATGTGCGAGACAACTTAATTTTTGTGCAATAAACACATAACATAAAACTATTTATGTTTTACCCTAACTTTTAAAAGTAATTTAGTAGAGAGAATATATGATATACAAAAGACGAATTACTGTTTCCCAAATCGTAAAAGCTATGTGTTTTTGTTGTTGTTTTTTATGTTTTTCTGTGCTCTCCTTAGGCCCGGCGGCAGCATGTGCACTATGGAAATATACACACTTGTTTAGGATGATGGAGACTATTTTGGCTAAAGTAATCCAAGTCAATTAATTCGTATTCATTACTTTTACACCTTACTGTAGCTACAATAAATAGGAAAATAAATAAATCCCATGACAATATCAGAAAACGTCCACGTAACACGAATTATCACATTACATTTCTTCCCAGGAATTTTTTTCTTCTTCTCCTTTTGAATTATTATTAACTGATTGGCACCTTTACGTCTGAGCAACTTAATTAAAATGAATACAGTCATGCGAAGCAAGCCCTCTACAGAGTAAAATAAACAAGATACTGACACAGTAATTACCGTAAAGAAGCTAGTATAAATATATGGCTTACTTTCAACTGACTGGATAATCTTGCACATGTAAATTTTATACATAAATAATATGATTTTTCCCCTATTAGTTACAAAATCAACTATGAATTAGCAGTTGCTTTTACTTTCATGAATGAATAAATAAATAAATTATCTGTAGGGCAAATAACACTAAACAGAAAGATAATATCCAGAAATCTTAAATATTACCTACAGTAATGTAGTAGTAAAGAAGCTCAGTGTTAGAAAATGGGTCTGCTAACGGGAGGCATTACCGGTACTAATTAGTACACGTGTTCAACCCCAGAAATTTTACCGAAATAACGAAACTTTTTTCATTATTGTCATTTTAATTTTAAGATTCCGAATTAATACAGAAATCAATGGCAAATGTTTGAGCACTGGATCTAAATTGAGTGGGTTAGTTTCGCCTCCCCCTCCCCTCCCCCTATTGCCAGCCCTGTTGCAATAGCATTTAGGCACGGATAATATCGTAGAATGACGTAGATTAAAGTTTAGCTTTACTGCAACGCATGCGCACAGATACTTTATACAATATGAGCATTTAGTTTTTGACATGTAATTATCATTTGTGTGTGTGTGTGTGTGTCTTGTTTTTGTTGCTGTTGTTGTTGTTGGCGAGAGTAGCTCGTTACACGAATGAGAGTGTGACAGATATGTTTTTCTAAACTATAAAGCAGGAATTCTCCTAACTTTTTTCTACCCCCTTGAAAATATTTCAGGCTTGTGATTACCCCATACATGCACATACAAAGTGATAGCAAATTAATGTGTATG